CCAAGTCTACTGACAGCGCACTTACCCGCTGTGTCCCTGAGATAACGGCCTTATCCACATTCTCCAGCTCCTCATTCTCCATCCGCTTCACTCCCTCCGACCACACCGCACACCAGTGATGAATCCAAAACCCCCCTGTTCATTATAACATCAGTAAGATTTCTAACCAAACTACATCTATGTGCTATATTTCTAGTAGATGAAACCCAATTAATTGAAAAAACTAATTATTTAATGGACAGGTATTAAATATAAAAGTATATATATCTTGAGTTCAACCTGAGTCATCAAAGAGTTCCGCCAGACAGGGGGTGGAGGAAAATCCAATGGAAGACAGGTCATCATTCCCAGGCTGTGGCAGTGGGGAAGCTGATGGCTTGAGGGTTGGCCACTCAGATGATGGCCCAAAGTGTCTCAGTTCCCGCTGTCCATGCAGGCTCCGCTCCACACAGTTACAAAGCGCACAGGCTTGAACGCTCTCTCTGTGTACAGTCACAAACAAGCAGTGTTGGGCAAGTTCCTTCCAAAATGTAATACATTATAGATTACTAGTTACTGTCATTTGAGCGTAATTAGTTATATTACAATATTACTGTCTCTGAATTGTAATGCTTTACATTACTTTTGCGTTACTTTTACTGCTATTTAATAGCCGCATTATTCTGATAGTAAGATGTGCTGCATGGGTGGATTCTCGTGATGTGCAGACTTAAATCTGCGGATTGGGTGAGTCTCATAAAAAAATTAACCTTCTGATAATAGCGGGCTGTAGAATTGGGCTGAATCATCTCCCCATTAAAAAAGACGCTCGGCACATTTACGTACGAGGTACAGCAGTATAGTTGTCATTGATTACTTGAATCTCCCGACACTCCAACAGGATCCGTCAGGATGAACTTACAGCAGCCTGCCTCTCTAATCATGAAAGTAATTCGTTAAAGCACAAACACATAGCCTATATCTATTTACACATGATCCATCAGGGGAGATGACATCTTGTTAAGAGGAGCCGAGCTCCCCATAGTTTGCACCCTGCCACATTGCCACATTCCTGTTGCGGGAAACATTGGATTCCCGCAACAGGAAATAACTCTTTTACTCCTGGATTTGTTTCTTGGTGTTGGTGAATTATTAAAAAACCAAAACAACACTTAATTTCGGGTTAAAATGTGTTGCAACATGTGTTACTGAGATTGTAACGAGTATAATATTCCCGATTATTTTTTAGTAATGCGTTATATTACTGTCTTACAGCAAAAAGCAATACATTACTGTAATTGCGTTACTTTTGTAATGCGTTACTGCCAACACTGCAAACAAGATGGTTCAAAACCCAAACAGAGATTCTGTTTTTAGTGTTGCCAACAATAACCAGCTTCTTGGGATAAAGGCCACAACAGTGTGCACAATATCCTATGATCTGAATTAAAAAAAAGAAAAAAAAAAAAAACTTACCTTAGTGTGCTGGAAGAGGCTGCAATAGCACCAGACATGTCCTCAGCAGCAGGAAGGGTTTTGGGCTCCTCCTCAGAGGAGACAAGCTGCTTTGAAGGGGCATTGTCATCAGCTAGAAAATGTGTGTGTGTGTGGGAAGGGGGGGTAAAGAAAAAAAAAGAGAGATAACAAGGCATCACTTTAATGCAAACTATGCTTTATTAAACTCATACTGACTTATCTGCTGTGGGAAAATAAAAACCTAATTTGTTCTGCTCAAGGTTTATTTATCTATTATGTTAAAACAAAAAATCTTTTTTTGTTCTCAGACATGTGCATTTCTCTTTAAAGAGCAAGAGACAAGTTGTGATATTATTCGTGTTCCTGCAGAATAGAGTACATTCATAATGGATGACAATGGGACATGTAGAAAAATGACACGATACATTACCTGTTGGTTCAGAGTCATTCTCTTCGCAGTTTGATTTCTGCTCGTCCATCCCCCTCACTGATTTTGACCTCCTTGACAGAGATCTGCAATTTAAAAACATATGTAGTATCAACTTGTAAATGTTAATCAGAAGCAGAATAGTTTTATAAAATGAATCACAGTATGCAAACAACCTGTGGGTATTTTAATAGATAACTGGATATTCCATTAACATGAGGTCTGATGAGAATAGATCTGACAGAGATATGAAAATAAATTACAAAATGTGTTAGATTTAAGCTTGCGCCCATAAAAAACAACAGCTAAGTAGTTTACAAGGCCTCACTCACAGAAAATAAAATTGTTCATTAGCCAACATGTGTTCATCATAAACAAGGAATCTCCAAAATGCATCTTTCTTTACCACACAACACTACACACTAGTCTACCTAACCATCCAAAAATCACTTTTCACATAAACACTTACAATCAACAATGCAACCAATTAAATATGGCTATTATACCCTGATTTAGATGATTTCCATGTGTAAATCTGATTAACGTTAGCACTAACGTTAATGCAATCGAGCTTTCTCGCACACTCATGAAAATAGCGCGAGGGGTAACGTTACAAGAGACAGATCAATCAGAAACCGCTTTAACAAGTCGTATGGTTATTTACCCAGCAATGCATAATCCAAATCTGCGAAACTGCTGCCTGAAAAAGCACAAAATGTTACAACTAAAATGGTGTTTTCCTAAATAAAACAACCACAAATCGGGATACACAAAAGACAACACAACTTCCGTGTGTAGAACTTCCTGTTGCAGCGGGGCTCCTTTCGTGCAGAACCTTTGCCGCTCGCATCATAGTTCCGCTATGAAGATTCACGCCATTAACAAAAACAATGTAAAACAAACAATGCAGGACTGGATGGGCTCGCCATTTTATTACATCCACGCAGGATTTTATTAGGAAGTCATGTTTCTTTTACGTTTCAAGGGTCATGGGCAGATGAAAAAGAGGTCGATCGGCTTCGATTCGCATGCTGTATTTTACTTAACGTTATGCCAACTAACTGCCTCACCATTGTTTGTGAATACCAACGTGAATCTCCAAGCGTTAGAAGACAGACAACCGAGAGAAATGTCCGTGATGCGATACTGCATGTTCTGATCTAATGGGCTCAAAAGACAATAAATGTGACAGCGACTTTGATATATAGATCAGCTGAGAGGCTCGCAGTGTTTTCGTTTGTTACAAAACAAAAACGGTGTCCTCCTATTTAGAAAAGCTTCCTGTGAGTTAACGTTATCTCACACACATTTCGAAATGCCACCCTATTCATTCTCAACGAGGCAGCTGGAAGCAGATGCCAGTCCGGGGCCGGGTATCTTTTCTACTGTTTTTAATCCATATGTGCAGAATTCATCACAAATTAAGATTCGATTGATCATAACACTAAACCAATGCCATGTTAGTCAAAATCATTTAGGAGTGATTCGTGTAGTGAGTGCTTACACGGTACAGTTCCCAAAATAAACTAAAACATACCTCCACTATTAGCCTAACCTACACAACGTTACAGACGCTACATTAAAACGATATTTATCAAATGGCACCAAAAGCTGTGAACGATGGACAGAATGAATTTCTCCATGTAACGTTACATCTTCGTAATAAACGTATTTGGAGGCAGCAACACTGGAAACGCACTCTTCTCGACAACAAACTAGCATCTAATTTAAGATCCACAAAACCCTAACTGGTGTTATATCACAGCTAATGAGGATACCAAATCGAATTTGTCTCTAATATGAAGTTGGCAATGTTCCGAGCAAAAGTGATGACATGATGGCGAAGTTAACGTCTTAACACCCCGGCTAGCTAAATTAACGTTAGAAGTGTTAACGTTACAAATTAACTTTCACGGTAAACGTGTTTGTTCTTGTTTTGTATTGTTATCCATCAACAGCTGATATTTGTTGCAGTGCCACGGTACAAGTTATTGAGATTTTATAGTTGAATAATTGCAGATCTAAGCACTATTTCTCAATGTAAACACGGACTTCAAAGGATTGGTTCTGTCCAGTAAATAGCCTTGTCCGTGTCGCCAGCGACAGGCTGATACGGAAAAGCTAACAACTACCAATGGTGACGTAGCAGCAAAGTGTCCCGAAGAGGCAAAACTACAAGAAATGTATCAAATGTCATGCACACACACAAATAATTGTACAAGTGTCAACCGGCTACTGTGTGGAGTATACCTTGGACACAGCCAACGTAAAACATATTCCAACCGAAAGTTAGCACCCAGGTAACATAGCTAGTTCTCCAGCAAGTAGACAACCCCATCTAGTCGAAGCTAACAGCTAAATGTTGCCGATAGCAGAGCTAACATTACCCGGTCTAAGGTCAGGGTTGGTGTGTCTTTAGGTATGTCTGCTACAAGAAGTTCAAAGAGGCCATAATTAAAACAGCTCACCTCACAAAAACAATACCGTCTCCTCATACATCAGTAAAATCCAAACAGCCACACAGCTTCCCAAAATGCTGATGGTCGCTTCATTTTATGTACCGGACTAACGTTGCGTTAGCCGGCTGGAAGGAGAGTGGGGGAAGTGCACGTCGGCGGAAGGCAGGCTGTGCGGTGGTGCTAGCTAACTCTTCAACTAGATGGATACTGCTATGGTTAGCTAGCTAACCAGCGACCTGAGCTTTGTGTCGAGTGGTCGTATACTACCGGGGAACTATTAAGCACCGAGACAAGCCTTCAACCAGTCACGAAACAGGCTCCCCAGCTTCATGCACTGAATCAAAAAACTACCTATCTGGCTGCTTGTGGATTTAGCTTAAATGCTAACCACCCAACAGCAGCTAGCCTTTACTCTGTTCTGGAATCTCGCTCGCGAGGTCGTTAAAGCTGCTGCAACTTTGCACAAAATAGTGCATCCGAAAACTACAGCCCCAAACTTTGTTGACACGTCAGTAAATATATTTTTTCTTTGGTTTTTAGTCGACTGCGGGCACTCATCTACCTAAATTTGTAGCTCAACTTTGCATGAGTACCCTTCTGTGGGTCACTAGCATCTCTTCACTTTGCTGAACTGCGTTGCGTCTGCACACGGTTGTTCCGCCAAGTGGGTATCCGCTGCTAGCAGTGCTAGCTAATAACAACTACGTCAAAAAATAAATTCAAGCAAAAGAACGACAAAAAAATGTGTTTTATTACTAGATACCAGTAAACAATGGACAACTTTGTACGATGTTGATTATTTAGCACACAACACAAGATTTTAATCTGGACAGCGCGGACCAGAGATGGTAAGATGGTAACGTTATCAGATATTAGGTCATTAGATTTTCAGATCAAGGGAAGCCATTTTTCATTAGATTGTTGTGACTGTACTTTGACATGCCTGCGGATGAATGCATTCGTTTTCATAATTGATCCGCGGTGTTTTTAAGTTCCATTAGGTTGTAAGGTATTTTTCTTTGCAAATTCATTTGTGTAATTAACATAACAAATGTGTACTGAGAACTTCATCATGGTTGCTAATTGCCTTTTCTGCCCCTCTCTATATTGCTATGAATTGCACATTCAGCTGGAGTGACTGAGAACGATTGGGAAGAGGTGAGTTAAATCTGCCATGATGTGAACCTTGACCAAGTTTTCAGCAGATTCACTGATAATGACCGAAATAAGCCACTACACCTTTTGTAGCTCATTCTGAGAGGTCTTATTTGGTTCCCTTGCGATTTGTGGTCACGTTATTGTTTTCCCTTACTATCCAAGCATTTATAATTACCATCCACGTAGGTGGTATTATTATCAAACGACATGACAATGAAATAAAATAATTGTAAAGGCCTATACCATAATACTATATTTTGTTAAAAATGTTGGCACAATGCCCAGACCTTTAGCAGACAAGATGAAAAACAGTTACAACCTTTATCCTCTGACACTGAATCAGTTGACAATTCAGTGGATGACGTATCCATTTTTAATTTCTTTAAATAATTATTTGTTTATGGAATACATTTTCAAATCTGGTCTTCAACTATGGGTAAGGAGAAATCATAATGCATACTGTGGGTGAACATAACACAGATCCTTTGGGTGGAGGGATTGGGAGGTGGGCCTTATATATCTTTAGGCCTGCCTTATCACTGTGAGAAAATTACAGATTATTAGTTGTGAGTTAGACTACTATTGAGTGGCAACATGTTAAGATCCTAATACCTTGCATACAGCAACTTTCAATTGTTATGCAGATAAGGGCATAAATTCCTCTCATATATGCATGCTTTTAAAGTTTTGTGTTTTTTCTCCAAAAAGTGCACGTAGTGCAACCAACAAGGATTTCTGGTGGAAAAAAATATTCTGTTCTTTAGACTACTAACCTGTGTAGTTCTTGCAAATCCTCTTGTATGTGTAGTTCTTAAACTAAGACACCAACCTCCCCATGCCGTCCTTTCATGTTGATTTTATGAACGAAAAGCCCAAGGCTGTAAATCCTGGATGTCACTGGAATGATCCTGTGAACTTTCAGAAAATTAGGGTGGGTAGCAGTCTGTCTCATTGTTAGAAGGTCACAGGAGTGAACAACCACCTGCTGCAGAGTGGTGATGACAGCTGACCTTGCACTGTGAAACGTCTGTGCTAACGTATATACGTGCAGAGGCATCCATGTACAGAATGTGCACTTCAGGGCTCAGATGAGACCACTGAATTGCAAAACTTGACAAGAATTTTTATCAGTAAGGCAAACTCCAAAGCTCCATGCGACTAAACAAAAAATGTCTTCCAAATGTGACCTGAAATTGTGAATGTTTTGGTTTTGATAAAACTTAAAGACATGCACACTTCAACTGAAGAATCTAGCTTAAAGCCTTATTCTTCTCATTGTGGTTAAGAGAGACCAATAATAGCTTATTACTTATTTGACTCTTTGACGTAGCAGCACCCTTTAATTGTTACTAGTAGTTGAAGAATAAAAGTGGTTTCATATTCAGTTAAATCATATGGTTTTTGATGATTGCTCACTGGGTTTGTTAGGCATTAATCACATATGGAGTCATAAGCTCTATTGTCTGCAGAAAAATTTGACCCAGTTTGTTCAGGTGTGGCATGTGAGGATAATTCTATGTTTGGAAGGATGTTCTGTGGCACTTCACATTCATATTAAACCCTTGACAAACCTCCACTGATGCATCTTTCTCCTTAATGTCTCTCATTAAATACTGTCACAAAAAAAGTTTTGTCGTTTCTCTTCTCAAAAAGAAAAACATGATACTATGTTTTGGTCAGGAAATGCGTGTTTCTCAGTGCCTGGACGTTGCATGTGCAGGTTTTCATTTTGAAAATAGGTTATTACTGGTCCCCCTGGTAGGATTAGTTAACTCCCAATTCAGCTTTAGCAAGATTGGATTAGATTTTGGGGTGGCGGGGCTGAGACTGGTTAGAGGACAGTGACTGATTGGCTGATGGATGTAAATAGAGGGTGGTATTAGAACACCAGCCTTTCCCTATTGGCTAGTCAGCAGAGCCGGTGCTTTCCCATCTGCCTCCTGCATCTCAAGGATTATCCCCTAGAATACCTCCACAGATGTTTTACAACAGAGCATAAACCACAAGAACAGAATACAGTTTGGGTGCTCAATGTGCAATTTGTAACAGTTACATACCTTAAAGAGAAGTGGGAAAAAAACGATCTGTTTGGTGTGTGGTTTGTTTTTTTGTCTTTCTGTTTTATTGTTCTGATAACACAGTACTCCATTCATATATTTGCTGTATTGTCAGTGCTGTAAAAATGCATTCCTTGGCAATAAAATAAAAAATGAACAATATCTCATTTTACATTATTACCAATTAAATACAAGTATTATAAATCAAATACAGTTTATTATCTAGAGTAGTTATTATTTGTACAAGGGCATTCAAGAAATTATATAAAATAAAATTATCAGGCATAATATCAGTTCCTCCACAAGGGGGTGTATAAACTTGTACTACATGTCCTGAATGTAGCCTTACACATTATTGTGACACTGAAAAGTAGTTTTACATGAAAAATAATTAAAGTAAATGTTTACTAGTAACTGGCACTATAATAAAATGTATAATACAGTCTGGTCTGGTCAAATAGAAAGTTATGTAAACAATGAACTGAACAGATATTTTACTGGTGGCACGAATGGATCAGTGGATACGAGTTAAATTGTCTCCTCATAGATTCTAAGAAACCTGACAACTCCCTTGAAGTAGCCATGTGACAAAGTCTGTGACTGTGATAAAGTCAAGGTGGTGGCAAAGAATATTAAGTACGTCTGGGCTTTTCATTGACCTGTCTGCCTAATGTCTAGATTGGATTTCCACAGCAGTCTTGAACACTATATTACATACATAATGCTCAACTATGACCCAAGAAATATTTTTGCATGTCGTGGGTTTTTCACGCAGAGTAACTCAGTTTTTCTAAACAAGCAAAAGACCAATTAGCTGAACAGACACATTTTTTATAAAGCAGCACTTTGAAAAAGGCAGAATGTTGTTTAATAAAATGACATTTTAATTTGATTTATGACATGACAAGTGAGGACATACAATACATGTAGTAAAATTATTATAAAAGAATGAAACATTTATATATTATGATTCAGAAAGTACAAAAATAAAGATTCTGATGTGGGAACATTCATTCCTCTCCCCTTCGAATATATAGATTTTTTTTTTTTACATATATAACTGAAATAATTAAAAGAAATAACATGATGTACGAATGCAGTCATTTTGACATGACTATTTTTACATTAACTTGCTCAAACAATTTGTCTCATCAAACTCAGTCTATCATAAAATATCACTTAGCATATCATTATGATACATTATAATGCAAACAATGGTGAAAAAAGCAAGCAAGCCATTCCAGTGCTTTTAATTTATTGAAGAAAAGAACAGGAAGTGTTAGCGTAAATGTGTCCAAGTTGCGATTTTGAACAGTACTGAGCCTACAGTTTTAGGCTTTTAAGGATAAAATGAGTTGGAGTCTAAAAGGATACATCCAAAATTGTACAGTAATCTAGCATACCAGTGGACATCTGATGTCTGTCTTTGTAAGGAGTGCTTCTCTTTCTTTTCCATCCTCAGAGGTTCACTCAGATTGTCTTGTTTGTTCAGAATGCCATTGTTGACATATACACCTGCTTTGTCCTGTGTGGTCAAAGTGCTACAATGACATGGAGTCTTAGTGCAAGCTGTTTCACTCTCTGTGGTCTGTGGTTCTTTTGTTGTCTCCCCCCAAAGTAGCTGGCTGAATGAGGAGAGGAGTCGCACAGGTCCAAATGCCCAGTGTGCAAGTCTGTGGTCCTCCACTAGTGCATAGCTGGATGCCAGCACCCCATCAACAAACAGAGTTCCAGCTTCTGTCAAGGGAGCATACGCTCCCACACTCTTCTCTACTGAAACTGAAATGATTTGAGATGGACGTACTTGACTATCTGCTGTATGGATAAGAACACAGTCTCCTGTTTTGGCTTTGCTAGCAAACTGAGCCTGGTACTCACTGCTGTCAAGTCTGCAACTGGGGGCTAAAAAGACCAAGTGATGTGGAGTAAGGGCCAATCTATGGCCATCTTCTGTCTCCAGAGACAGAAAAGTAGACCAGCTTTCTTGGTCCCGGTGCAGAAACAAGAGGACTTGGCTAAACATGACTTGGCCTGTCCCAGACAGGGCCATAACTCTGTCCCCAAGATCCAGTGACGACAGGCTCTTCTGCACCCCTCCTGCAACAGTCACCCGGGCCCAGCCTGGGAAACAGCCACCTTTTTCCACAGCAACAGAGTGATCTGCAAGAAGATCAGCAGTAAAAGATGACTAAACACAGATCGTGTTCCTTTGTTGTCATAAAAATCCTGATATACAATCCACTGAAGTGATGTAGTTTGACACAGTTAACTGTGTGAGGTTGTTTTAATAACTCCCTCCTTAAACTTACCAGCTTTTACTGAGCAGTGGATGTGATATTTGGACTCATAGTGGACCCAGTCAAAGCCAGCCTCCACAGCCAGCTGGGCTAGAAGACCATACTTCTCGGTTTCTCTGTCGTTAGTGGTTATATCCACGGCCCGGCCTTCATAGTGCAGAGAGCCGGGAGGGTGGTGACCATCTTCATCCCAGGCCTCTGTCACACGTAAGTGTACCCCTGGCCACTGGTTCATCACTGCAATGGCCAACCTGTTCAAACAGTCCTTACATCGCTAGGAACAGAGTGAGAGAGGGAAGGTGTTCAGTTTGGAACAGTATTAACTGAAACTAGCCAATATATAGGAGGATATTAGCTTATCGCAGATAAATATCTATCTCTATCTATCTATCTATCTATCTATCTATCTATCGAGAGAGAGAGAGATGTTTGGAAACTGTCATCTACCGCAGACCATTTACAATTACTTTTAAACTTTAAAATATCAATCTGGAAAAACATATCAGGGATTTGAATGTCAATCTTTGAGGTTTAGCTCTTAAATATTTAAATACATATGATTTTTATTGTTGAATGTGACAACAGAATAGAATCAACAAGGGATTCAAAAAGATTCACTCAATCATTAACAAACTGGAGGGACTAATAGCGTCCTTAATTCACAGGAATATAAGTTCTTGTGGAAGAATGTGTGGATTGTATTAGTATTATTTGTGTAATTCTTAATGTTTCTCTTTAGTTTTTAAATTGTTATTTTGCCTTGTAGGTTGGATGGTGCGTTGTTTTGTCTATTAGACTTTGACATTTTCTATTGTATTGTTGGATATAAAAATATATAGAAGAATATAAAAGTATTCCAAGTTTATTTTAAAGACAATCATATTATTATTCACTCAGCCTGCAGCCTGTGAAAGGTCTGAACCCCACTCAAGTAGATGTGACACTAGTAATAATTTATTAACGGAGAATGGCACAGCCTAAGTGTTCAAGAGGTATGTACAGTATGTGCGCCTACTGTACACCTCAGTGCACACACTGATTTCAGTGCAACTCACAAGAAAAATATTCCAGTATTTCAACACTGTCTCTTTCTCCCAGGTTATGATTGTTTGTCTGCTGGCATCAACACATAATTCCTCCTCTGCTCTGCTAAAGGCCATCTCAACCTTGCTCAAACAATCAGAGTACAAGAACAAAGCTACTGTAGCCAGTTTGGCACATTCCTTGGCCTTTTCAACAGGGTGACAGAATAATCAAGGCCATTCACTGCCTTTCCAGATTGTTCCAGGCATGAGTTTCTCTGTTTCACCCCTGAGACATTTGATCAGAAATGTGCACAGTGACTCTTAACAGACGCCGTGGGCCGTGATGTTACACACTGTGTCAGCATTGTCACAAAATAGCAGGCTGAAAAAAATGATGTCAGCAAGCGAGGTGATACAGTCATCATCACCTGAACACCCATTCTCTCGTGATGTGGCAGGTCTTGTGGCCTATAATTGATCGTATAAAGCTTATGTTGTGATGAGGGTGTGAGCAGGAGAGATGGAGGGAGGAAAAGTTGGGTGAGAAGAAAGCAGTGTGGCGGAGAGCCGGGGTTGGGAGTAAAGAGAGAGGGCAGAGGGGAAGAATGTATGGGCATGGACTTGGGAATGTAACAGCAAGAGTGAGAAAGCGAGAGGGACAGAAAACAAACTGGGTACATTTTTCTCGCAGTGCCATGGAAGAGAGGCGTTTCATTGTCAGAACTACAATAGTCGCTTTTCCGACGCTGCCATTACTTCAGCAGGCGGGAATTTTGTATAGGCGACCCCTCTGAGCCTCCAAATGTCGCACAAAGAGCGTCTTTCACATCTGGGCAAAAGAGGGGCACATGCACACATACACACACTCAAACTGGGCATCAGCAGGGCACACATATACGACCGCAGATTTCCATCACATACAATCACCCGGGGAGGGGAACGAACACAGATTAATATCCTAAACAATCACAGAGAGCCGCAGCATCCAAAGCAGGGTGACAACTGAGTGTCAAGAATCCCTGTGGACATATCCAGCAGCGTGGCATTCAAAATGTTTTGTCAAAAAGCTGTCCATCTCCCTGCCCAGAACTTAAATCCTCTTGGTCACTGGCTGTCATTCCTAGGCGTGGGATTTGTATTTAAATACCTACATTTCTAGTGCCATACCTGGATATTTCTGCTGGTAGGCACACTGAGAATCTGTCACAGGAATAGTTTTATCTCCAATAACAAAGACTTAGGTTAAAGATTAAAAGGAAGTGTTCCTGAAGGGGAACACGGTCTCTTGAGGAGTAGTGTTGAATTACATCCTGATCTTCTTATCTCAAGAAAAGGGAGGGGATGTTTGGTTAAAACTTATGCACTCTGTGTTGAACATTTGTTTGTGTGTTGAGAGCCTGGCAAGGGCAGGTAGTGCAGGAGAGTACGGCAAACAAATGACTGAGGTTATGTGATTTGATTTGAAGGTGCCACGCTGGATGGCACGGTATGTACTGTGAACCTGCTTACTGTCCCTTCATGTGAATGTAGTTAATCAATCATCCAGCAGAGGGGTAAGCTTGAAAAGGTTCACGCGACACCAGTGAGAGCATCCTTCAGTCAATCTTCAGCTCACTCTCTGCCTTGTCTGTTTCATTGTACTTACCATACAAGAGTCGCCAGGTATAACTGGGGTCAGTGGATCCACTGTCTCATCCCATTCAACAAAATCCTTAGAATCTAAGATGACTGAGTATGATTAACCATAGCACACCAATCTCACCTTAGTCATGAAGCGGTCTGCGTTGGTGTTCTCCTCATCCTTGAAGACAATGTCTGGGTTGTAGTTGCCCACAAGCTCATTGAAGCGCTCGGAGTTGCGTGTGATCTTGCCCTCTGCTCTCCCGCTGGCACCAAGGTTGTTTTCTGAGAAGTTGGGGAAAAACTGCTTGTAGTGCATGGCTGTGAGTTTCCTGGGCCTGGGGCGGATGCCGTGCCCGTGGCCCGGTCCGCATCCCTGGACCAGCCATATACAGGTCCACACAGCAAGCAGGCCGAGCTGTGCCAGGCGGACCCACCGGTACTGCTTCATTGGGGAGGGTTGGGGCTCCCAGGAGTCAGTGGCCCGCAGTGCCTACAGCGATACCCCAGTTCCAGATGTGTGATAGCATGTGAATGAGGGTCAAATCTTGGTCCATTCCAAATCATGTGGTATAAGACCTGATATTAATATGACACAAACTTACTAATTTTCTTCTTACTGCATTCACTCTTGTTTTGACCAAAAGCTATATCCCAAATGAATGATCTGATTGGCTGAAATCTAAAGTTCCTGACGTTTTGGCATCAGGTATTAAAATTAAGACATAGGCTAATAGGTGAGTAAAGTTTCTGTCCAAAGTTTTCACAAACTATCAGCAGCCTCTAAGCCTCTTGTGAACTGAAAGTCTTCATACGTCCGTCGCGGGTACCTGCCTTGACGCAGGTGTTTTTCATGCGTTTCTAGTCACTTACCGCTTATCTCCCTCCACGCAGTTCCTTTGAAGAGACACACAAACCGATGCACGCCAAAAAGCCCTGGCGGCTCCCTGACTCCCTGCAATTCCTATGGACGCTCCTGTGGCGCTCTCATCCTCTTTGACCATCCAGAAATGTCTCTCTTGAGAGGTTTCTTTTTTCCTTCTCCCCTTCGTCCACCGTCTTCTGTCGCGTTTCAGAGCTCCTGGCCACCTTGCACCAGCCATTGGGTCTTATTAACGTCCGGACAAGATTGCCCTCCCTTCCTCTGCGCGCTCCCACCGCGACAGCACACGCCTCCAATTCAACCTTACAAAGGACATATGATTAGCCTACCCACAGTGTGTTAACACAATGACCCCCCACCCCTTCCACCCCATAAAATATTTAACGGCAAATAAAAACACTGATAGTTTGGGCTTTCCCATATCAAACTGCAAAGTGAAATAAATGACACTTAACAAATCACCCTACATTTTCAAAAACCTTTGAGACACATCATAATTTAGATATCAACTGCAACTTTTATGATGCATATAGTAGAGCACATACAATATTTACAGTGGGTCAACCAAACACTCAAGTCAGTTAAATTGTTTTGAACCACAATGCCTTTGCTTCTGTCCGCTCATCCCACCCATCAGAGTGGACTGGTCAACAGTGATGACTTTGTGTTTATGTTATTAATAGACAGAGTTGAAGGTGAGGGTCTAAGAGGGAGCACAACAAGTGTCCAGCCTTGACACCCCTGACTGTGACTTACAGCGCTGCCTTCCTGTGTTTGGGGAGCCGGGCCTGACCCCCTGAACCCAGTGCACCCAAGACCTCTCCTTCTGGAAACACACCCGTTGGCCACATCAACATATTATTTTTATCTGTCTCAGAACAATAGCTGGGAGAGTCATAAAATGTGTCAGATAATGGCAAAAAGGGAGCAGAAAAGAAAGGAATCGTTGTGTCTCAGGGGTCGGACATCTGTAATCACATACGGAAGCCTAAATTAATGGTGGGATAAAGGTCGCTATCCTATCTGTAGCTTCCTGGAACATTCGAGGACTCAATACATCATGGCTAGTTTCTTCACAGTGACTTTATTTCAAAGAATCATCAGCTGACTCCCGACTCCCAACAGAGGTGCTCGGTACTCTGGGTGTTTTGTCTATATCTTGGTTTGCATGCTGAAGATGCTTCGTGATTAAATCACTATTTAGACACTTTCTTAACGTCCATTGAGCTCAGAAAACTGTATCTGAAAACCACCTGTGAACTGCTCATACTGTGCCAGATCTCTTCAGCACATACAATTTACTTCTGCATAGTGATGAGGCACAGGTCACCAAGCTCCACAGTGACCATGGAAAGGCATCCTTTTTAGGGAAGTTTCCATAAGATCCCAGGATGTTGTAGGGAGGGGTGGCAAGGCGAAGCCGCATCTTCCTGTCCTTATAATAAACATGGGAGAAGGCTCGAGTCTGGCCCAAGCAACACAGATGAGAGATATAAGCCTTCATGACAAATGCAGGGAATGAGTCAATCAAAAATAAGCAACAAACACTTTCATATCTAGTACCCACACTGATGTTTCTCTTCAAAGCCACACAAGAGAGGAGATTTCCATCTAACATGAAAGGGAAAGGAAGGAAGCAAACATCTGCGGGCTGGAGATGGAAATAAAGTCATTATTATTAGTTTTTATTTTGGTGCCCCCTCATCCTCCTGCCTCCCCTGCCTCCTTCTGGCTCTTAGTATTTCACTCCCCCATCTCAGGATGGGAGTACATGGCTGGGTGAATGGTTGGGTTTCCTGCAAAGCCACAGCATAGAAAACGAGATCTTTCCTGCCCGGGTTAGCCTACTCTAATTTGTTCTCTCCAAATGGACGCCTGTGCTTGCACCTGGGCTAGTGGTCAAATACAGTACATACCTGCACGCCAGGTTTCTCTTCTTCTAAGGAGTTGTTACGACTTATAGGATCGCTAATGTTGGGAAATACTGGACATCTACAAATGCAGGCAGGGATGAAATTATGAGCCCTTTCTGTTTTTTAAAGGATATAATCATTGTAAAACTGAAATTGGGTTTTGAAACAATGCTAACTTTGACATCTCAAGTGTTTGTCTTGTCTCTTGGAGCTGAATACACAAT